GACAGCATAGACATTCTATGGAGTTGTCTTCCGAGTGGGGAGTCCCCACTCCAGGTGCTGAAAGACAGAGACAGAGACTCGGGTGAAAGCATCTGTCTCACTCCGAAGTTTGACTCACTTCCCCTCTCACACGCGCAGTCTATTTCTTATACGTCTATGGTTAAGTCATGGGGAGCAAGAGCTCATGTGCCGTTACGACGGCGTATGAAGTACCTAGGTTTCCTTGTGGATTGAGATGTTCCGAGCTCATCTTCAGTCTTAAGCGCGGTCGCGTCGTTGGGACGGCTTATGCCTAACTTGCGCGTCCCGGGGGAAAGACGTCGACGTCTGTATGCGATGGTCGTCCGCTCCATCGTTCTTTATGGGGCACCGGTGTGGGCGGATGATCTTCCGCACCAACAGAAGGCCTGTGCGGCGTCACGCCTCAAGCGCGCATTGTCTCCGCGCCTTCTATATGCGCATATAGAACTGTCTCTGGGGTGGTGGCAGACATGCGCTCGCGAGTACTCCATCGCTGGAGCTGCATGCCTTTTATCTTCGCCGTGTGTTCTTGGAAATCAGGGAACAACCGCCCGACGCCCCCTTCGATCTGGAGGAGTCATCGGGCGTGGAAAGATGTGGTTCGTCGGTGAAAAGTGAAGGTTCGCAAAGTAACCTTTCCGAGATTCGAATGGCTCTCCTGCCGGTACTACGTAGTAAATTGATCGTCCCTATCGGAGGACTCTGACCACAGCCCCAGGTGCAAGCACTGTGGCGCAGACGTAGATTCGGCCAGCCACACGCTCGCGGAGTGTCCGGCGTGGGCAGTGGAGCGTCAAGCCCTGTGTGCGGTCGTCGAGGCTGATTTATCGCTTGCGACCTTGTTTCGACGCATGGTCGACTCAATCAACCAGTGGCGAGCCGTCGTCTCCTATTGCGAGGCAGTAATGCTTGTCAAGGAGACGGCGGAACAAGACCGCGAGGTTAGAAGAGAAGGGTGTCAGCTTTTCACGGTGTCCCGGTCGACAAAAGAGGGGCGACACTGTTTGCGGTTTTAGCATTATCCCGCACATGAGCGCGCGAATTTCAGACGATCTGATTCGTTATCTTTGAATGCTTTTAACTCAAAAATTATTATAGCCTCGACATTTTGGTATTAAGATTTTTGTGTTAAAATGATCTCGAGAATCTACTGGTAAAAGGAAATACGGTAGTTGCGGGACACCCTGTATATATATATGTATACACAAACATGTGCGTGTGCGTGTGCGTGCGTCGTGCGTGCGTGTGTGTGTGTATATATTGTACTTCCGTTTCCGGTGATGTTGATAACAAATCACTGTGAAATAGCGTGTAAACATTTGGTTGTGCTTTTTGATGCGGTTACGAATGTTTGTGAGTTAGCGGTCTGTGGAGTGAGAAGAGAGAGAGGTGTGGAGTGTGTGGAATTAGAGGTGAAGTTGCAAGGGAGTAGAAAGAGTTAAGAATTGAAAAAAAGAATAGGAAAAGTAGCGAGGTTAGGTGCGGGGAATCGTGAGATTAGGAGCGCTTGAGTCAAGGTGTGTTCTGCATCGCTGAGATTTGAAGTGCAGAAAGTGGAGTAGATGTAGAAGGGCGTACGGTGTGTTCGGTTTGCTAAAGTTTTTTATGGTGAGGCGTAGGATGGCAGAAGGAGCAAAAAAGGAAAAGAGTAGAGTGGACGTTATTAAAGAGGCTGAGGGATATAGGAAAAGACGGTGAGCGAGCATACAGGTTTAGAGAAATGGTTGAAGAAGAAAAGGAAATCGGGAGGAGAAGAACAGAGGAAAAAGGGAAGGAAGAATGGGCATTCAGGAGCAGCAGAAAAATGCAAAGATTGGATCTCCGCAAGGAAAGAAGAAAAAATAGGGCAAAAAGAAAAGGAAGGGGAAGAAAGAAAAGGAAAAAAAATGGAATGCAAATTGGATGTATGGAGGAAGTTAGAGAATTTGAAAAAGAAGTTGGATAAATATGCAAAAAGAATAGAGATAATGGAAAAAGAAATGGGGGAACAAAGGAAAAAGGAAGCAAGGTTAAGAGAAAAAAGAGATGAATGGAAAGATAAATTTAAAAAAGTTGAGAAGTCGCTTGTGAAAATGATAAGGAAAGTTGAAAAAGCCAATACGAGACCGTGTACACTGGATGTCGGTGTGTTAAAATGTTTATGTTTATTCAAAGTCAAACGTTTCGATTCTTGTATAGAATCTTCCTCAGTGACAAATGAATTATCTAAACGTAAAGTAAATAGAGAGTTGGTTTACCAAAGAGCAATTGATTAACAATAGTAAGAAGATTTTTTTAAAAAACAACTTACCAAGAAATGCAATATAGGATGTACATCAGCAGGTTAGACCACACAATGTAAAAAAAAAACATTTTCGATGAATGAAAACATCAAGAAGCACTTACAAATTGAATTAAATATTTTTTATAAAGAAAAAAAAGATAAAGAAATTACTTGTTAAAAATAATGAGTAAAGAATAACCGAGACAGTACAATGAACTGTTTGAAATGTGCCGACATTCTGATGTACAACCTTTATGAACAGATAAATGTTTTTCTCCACTAGCAATGAAGAAAAACAGGACAGACAGTTAAAATGTAATGTTGTACTTATAACGCTGTAGATTTAAATAATTCAGAAACGCAAACTATGGTTTTAATTTTTCCGTATCGGACATAACGTAATTGGATTTTTTTGTAATTTATTAGAAGTACAAATTAGTTCGGTCCGTTTCCAAAAGATGGCTCCGGCTGTTGTGAATGGTTCATAGTGACAGCTGATTTTGGCGGGTTTAGAGAGGTTAGACATCTGCTAATAATATTCAGTTTATATCGCTTTGAGTTTCATACAAAAACCTTGATTTTTCCTGTGTTTGAAATGTCGAATTTTGTGTTAACCAAGCAGCATTTGCGGGAGGTTTTAATTTCTGCTTTAATTGGAAGAAAAGTGCAGCTGAAGCCCATCGAATGCTTATATGACATAAGTCGAAGTTTCTGGGTTTCACTCCTCCAACTGATAAATCATGTAGGGAATGGTTTCGACGTTTCAAGAATGGAGACAGCG